AAAAAAATATCTTTGCCCTTAAAAAAAAGACAGCGCGAAAGAGAGCGAGAGACTACATTTCCCAGAAGCCTCTCGTTCCCCACGCTGCCGCAGTCTTGCGCAGGCGCCGCCAAGGCCAAACGGCCACGTCCGTCACGTGGATATTAACCAGCCAACCCGGTTTGAATCTCATTTTTTTCCTCTCGCCCCCCTTCAGGAGCGGTTGTGCGATCAGATCGATCTAAGATGGCGACTGTGGAACCGGTGAGTGTTGCCTTCGGCCCCCACCCCCACCGGGGCCCGCGCTCCGTCTCCCTTCCGACTGCGGGACCTGCGCACGCCGCCGAGCATGCCGAGGAGTCCGGGTCCCGTCCTTAAGAGTGTTTACTGCCCAAAGCATTTTTTTTTTAAAGACCCACTTCACTTCACTTTGAAAATTAATTTTCCTTGTGTGTTTTCTTTATCCATTTTCCTCTCCAACTAGGCATTATTTTAAACTTAGTTGAAGCAAGCAGATCCCAGAACAGAAAGTTGGGAGTGACCGCCCAAAGGAGAGGGTATCTTGGTCCTAGTTTGGGTTTGCCAGCACCGGCTCCCTGAAACTTCTAGGCCTGCCTGTGTGGCTGTTTTAGGAATGTCACACCTAAGTGACATGACATTGCTTTAGAGGTATAATGGAGTTTATTAGCAACCAGAAATCCTTTGACACTCTGGAACCAGTTCTAGACCAGGGTTGCCAGATATTTTTGTATATCTAATGCTAGTTTGTGCTTTTGGTAATGGTCTACCAATTTGCTTAACCTATTTCAAAAACTAGCCATGGGAAAGCTATATATATATATACACATATATATATACACACACACACACACACACACACATATATATATGTGTGTGTGTATATATGTATATATATATGTGTGTGTATGTAAATATATATATGCTCCCCCCCCCCCCATTACATTGATGTAAACTATTCTTACCTTGTTGCCAGAATTTAGGGGAGTTTGTCTGCTTGATTACTTGTTCTTTTATTAGTATCAGTTTTCATTTATGTTCCTGGAAATTAGATTGACTGCAAAACTGTCTCTTAGGTTTCTGATACAATTAGCTGACTTTGGGATATTAATGTTACATAGGTAAAGACTTAGGAGAAATCTGTAAAATTTTAATTTTAATTTTAATTTAAATCCCTTTTAATGGGTTCTGATGTTCACTTTTGACCGTATCTGTTGTCCTACCCACTTTACCAGTGTCATTAAAAAAAAAAAAATTACAGCTGGTAATGGTGGCAAGGCTAAAGCTTCTAAACAGTAATAATGTATTCTGTGAAATTTCAGTAACATTTAGGTCCTTCAGATTTTGCAAAATAATGCAGGTTTGTTTCAACAGCACAGCACAGAACTACAGAGTGTTGAAGGACTATTTTGAGTCAGTAAATATTTATAGACCCTGATTTTAGAACATTGTACCAACAAAGTTATACAAGATGTGATTCTATACCTTGTTTAATGTAACTGCTTAGTGAGCTTAATTCTCAATCAATGATACAGTATTGTGATTGTTCTAGTGCTGTCCCAGGATGATTTGGATTCTGCATTTAAATTTGGGGAGTAGTGAACCTAAAAATCTAAAGTGTATGAAAGTGGAAAGCCAGATTGAAACTATAGTAGTTTGAGGATATATAAAATAGTGCAGAATTGTTCATTTTTGGTGAAAATTTTTAGTACTTTTAATGCATCCTCGTCCACAAATTATTTATAATTTTTTGGACAACTTTAAATAGTGGTTTTTTTTTTTTTTTTAAGCAGCTGATTAGTATTGGTTGCAGTTGAGGTATGCATGCTTAAGCCTACAAAGTGTTTGTTCATTGCTGTTTCAGCTAGCTTCTAACTTTTCTTACTGCTTTTTTGCTGGGCATAACAAATACTTAAAAGAACCATGTTGGTTTGTTTGTTTGTTTTTTTCCTCCTTGTCCCACCTTTCATAGGGGACTTTTTATCTGTGTACATAAAATATCAGCGATTTCTATTTGATATTGTGTGGTTTTTCTCAAGTTTGTGTGTATAAGTTCAGTTATATTAAAATTGTTGAGAAGCTTGATAGGGTAAATTAAAGGAAGCATTTTCCCTCTTTACAGCGAATATGGCAATATTTTGAACATTGGGGTAAACAATACTCTTCTGTTACTCTTTTGGCATTTGAAATGTGGCTGGATCAAATTAGACTTACTATTAATTGGTGAAGATGGCAAGGCCGTTTCCCCAGGCCATCTTGTCTCCAGCAGGACATGTTTCTTTAGCTTTATCTTCATTCTGTATTCTTTATTATTGAGCTTTTTTTTTTTTTAACTTGTTCTTTTTCTTTTAAATTGATACATTTAAATGTATAAATCTATACATTTATTGTATTCTAGATGTCCCCTTTGTTGTTTTTTCTTTTTCGCATTGACCCCCTCCCCCCGTACTTGTAGTTCTTTTTAAGGTAAGAGATTACATTTTTTTTTTTAGTTAAACTGAAGGTATATAATTTTACTTGTTTTTACACTGTGTCTCTTCAGTATGTAAAGTTGTACATTAATTTCAAAAGTGGGATTAACTTGGACGGTCATCTGATCTGTTTCTTTTTTTATCCTTTAGAAACATGCTTTGTATTGCAGAGTTTATTTATTAAAAGTAAATAAGGCTTAAATACATATTGACAAATATGTCATGTAATTCAGTGTTGTTTATTAACCAAAGACTTGATTGACAAGCAGATCTTGCAAATTAATATGCATGTTCTTGCTTTAATGAAAGAACTCAGTATATAAAAATTCATTCATAAAGCAACTAAATGAATCTGTTATTTATATTCCAAATTTCACTTCATTTTATACTTTGAATTACTAGTATGCATAATTGTTTGACACGGAAAAATTCAATTTAGAAATACACAGTTCACACACTAAAAATGTAAAATTAATTATGTAAACTTACCCAATTTGGACAGAAAACTTTAAGCAAAACATTTTAATAAAATATTCTGTTTAATTTATGGTTAAGAATATAGAAATGCCAACAGTCTTAGACATAACAAGGAACCTGTGAAATAGTTGTTCTAGCAATGGTAATTTCTACTTTTCCTTCCTTGCTACTACTGGAAATTTTCTGGTTCTTCTGGTACCTGTGACTTGTTCTGTCTTTGTCATAGAGACTCTTTTGAGCAGTGGAAACAAATATGGGTTATAGTCTAACTTAAATATCTGTATGACCTTGCAGACTGAACATTCTAAATCTAGCTAAAAAATGGAAATAAGATATCTTATAGTGATTTTGATGTTTTAATGCAGTATTCTGAGATGGCAGTTTGTCATTTATGAAGAACTAAATGAAGTTTATAGTACTCCATGAATATGTTGCATGCCGGTGTACCCATGCATACATAGTGTATACACCTTTTCCTCTCTTTGCTAGGAAATTCACATAGCTGCCTTTTGATTATCAGTCCTTGGCCATTAACAAGAAATGCAAAGCTTATTTATGATCCACAATCCTCAGATACTCTTCCCACTCCTATCTATATCGTAAAAATCACTAGTGTTTCTTCAAAAGTTCCTAATTGTGTCCGAAAAAAAGAATCACATTTGTCTCTTATGTGCTGAATAAGTCACTTCCAGGAACTGAGAATATAATCAGAAAAGTAAGATTTTTTTGCTCAGTTGGAACTTTTTTAAAAAAAATATATTTTTATTGATTTCAGAGAAGAAGGTAGAGGGAGAGAGAGATATAAACATCAATGATGAGAGAGAATCATTGATCAACTGCCTTCTGCACGCCACCCACTGGGGATCGAGAGCCCACAACCCGCCAGTTGGGACTTTTGATACATTATCCCACAGAAACAATGGGAAGCTGTACTTTAGTCACACTGTGTTCAGTAAGTTTCTGTGGAATTATGACAAATCTAACTGGCATTGGATTTCAAGCAAATGACTTAATAAAAATGACCTTTTAAACACAGTCTGTTACATCTATTTTTAATGTAGGCAGATCTTTATTTCTTAGTAATAGCTAAAATAAAGCACTTGCAGTATATACTTGTCAGGCACCACACTAAATGCTTTTTTTTTTAATTGTCTAAAGTTTTACAAATGTCTCCCTTTTCCATAATTGACACCCCCCCCCCACTAAATGCTTTATATATATTAATCCTTACAAGCAGCCCTCTGAGGTAGGTAGTATTCTTATTTCACAGATGAGGAAATCAAGGCACAAAGAGATTAAGTAACTTTGTGTGACTAACTTGTCCAAGATCACACAGCTAGTAAGTAAGTGGTGGGGTGGAGTTCAAACTAAAGCAGCCAAGTTCCAGATATGTGTTCTTAACCATGACACTCTTTGCAATAGGCAGGCAATGTGCTTTCCTTATGCAACTTGGGAAGATTAGTTTGATAAACACTTCACTAGATATTTTGCTATAGCTATAAGATAAAATGTGTGGATATTTGTTTTTAGGCTACCACAATGTTTGGTAACTGAAGTACAGAATCATATGAAAATAAATAGCAACTTGGTCTCTGCATCTGAGGACTAAACGAGTAGTTATTACTGGTCATATTTTAGTAATTGGTCCAGAACTTTATGTGTAGATTTCTCAAGAAAGTGAATGGTCAATTCCTGTCTCCATTTTCTCATTTAATTTCTGGACCTTGGTAATTCAAATGATTGGCCAGTTAAAATATTTTGCTAGTGAAAACAGTAGTACATTTAAAAAATTTTGAGATTATGAAATTTATTCTCCACTACCTTTGTTCTTTCAGTAATTTTGGTGAGAGGTTTGGCGAAGAGTTAAATAGTTGTTTTGAAAAAAGTTTTCAGCTATAATATGTTCCTAGTCTTAAAAGCAAAATCGTTTGGGGAAGGTAGTAATAAGACCTAAAGATTTCTCTGAAACTCATGGCTTTACAGTAATTTTTAAAGCTAAAATATACATAAGCATGTTTTTAGTTGTATATTTTAAACTTGTTATTGTAAAATGCTATACAGAAATTAGTTATAATCTTTAAGTATTAACTAAGGCAAGAAAATTTGATATTTTAATTGGAAAGATAAAACATAGTTTTTTCCTAATATTCGTAACATCTTAGGATAAATACATTTTATAGGGTTCTGGCCTCAAGCTTTATTACTATTCTTTTCAAAAAAGAAACAAATTCAACCCAAACTAAAAAGTGCTTTATCTTCAGTAAAACTCCTCCTAGCTTAAGAATAAAGTCAATGTGT